CTTTGTCTTGTATCCCCCTTGTCTCATTTTTCTTTCAATTCGTGGAGTTTCGTGTTTCAGGTTTTCAGCGAGCTTACTCGAAGAGGGAAAGTGAAAAATTAAGAAAGCTGGGCACGCTCTTTCGCCCATTACCGCGGGGTAAACATACGGCTTAGGTACACGACCAGAATATCAGAGAGTGTGCTTTAAAGAAGAAAAAAAGAAGAGAAAGAAAAAAAATAGTCAGCTCCAATATCCTTCCATGGCTGTGAAAGGACGACGTTGATCCTCTGATCGGATTCTCCACTAATCGCGTTCGCCCATTCTCTTGTTTCAGACCCTCTTGCCTCGTCGATCGAATTCTTGGAAAACTCGAATTTCCCTCGTCTTTTGTACTTGGAATAGAAAATCCAATCGGGACAGGAAAAGAAGTTAACGGTATGAAGACTGAGGTCTGGCGTTATTGGAATAATGAAGAAAATCTTTGCAACGAGATCTTGTGAATACAATCGTTATTATATATAGGTAAAAATTCATTTTTTATATTCAATTTTCGTTTTTAAATTGTCGAATAACTGTCCTTACCCTCAAAAAATGAATTGAACATAAGGAGACATTTATTATATCAACATTGTCGCACCCTTCTAAGTGTCTCTTATTTCTAAATAAATTGCAATGGAAAACAGTTCCATCTTCAGCCAGCAAAGGTCCCCTTTTTATTAAAGAATAATTCCGTGCCCTTCTTCGCCAGTGAGTCCCGTAATCCAGAGTTCCAAGGTATCATCCGTCAGTTCGTCTTGATGGCGTCACATTTTCTCTCTGCGCCATCAAATCTGAGAACGGTTGCATTAGATTCACAAACATTTGCCGGTTGTGTCGGTTTCCCATGAGGGTTGAGGAACAGTACGCTAGGGTGGACACACGGGGAAGTGCAATATTGAATTCCCGCAAGGCCTCCGGGCTTCGTTCTCATCCCTCCCCAGTCATTCTGACAAATCTACGTCCTGGGGATCAGAGGTCTGTGCCATCTATATAAATTTAATAACACGAAATGACGTGACCTTCGATCTCGAGGCTTCCTCCTCGAACGCATCGATACCGCAGACACCGTGCACTATCTCAACCCCTCGATCCCCTGTAAACCGGATCGTAAAACTGATTTAAGATATATGATCGTTGGAAAGAAATTGCTTTCTCGACCGCAAAGTTGCCCGTTTGATGGAGCAACTCGGATTCACTGAAATTTTAATGTTCCTCGTGTTCGACCCGTTAACGACCATCGCGAGAGATTTTCGCGGTATACATGAATAAATTTTACGATTTTTCGAAGGGGCGAAGAAATTGAGTCTCGAGTGACGGGGCTGTCTCATACAGTGATCTGCGTCAATTACTACTAACTGGTATTATCAGTTTAATTAAAAAAAGAAATGGCTATTTCTACTGTATAATAATTCTCCATTAGTGAACTTATCTTTGGCATGATTGATTTTTAAATAATTCAATATAGAATTTAACTGGTTTCCGATCGGAAACCGCAAACAGACACTTATTGTTCTTTAACGTTTAAGTTTCAGTTAGCGTTGGACGTTCGCCGAGTACGAAAATCGATTTTCTATAATAAATACTTCCATTCGACGAGCGTTCGGCGCAGATACTCGAGGCGGACGAAGCCACGCTGTAATTTCTCGCCACGTCCAGGCGCTATAGATTATTTTATGTAAATACAGAATTGAAAGTGGTACTTGTCTGTGCTCCGTCCTCCTCTTTATCGAGCCGTACCGCTTCCACGCTTCTCCTCTTCTCCATCTAGCCTTTATTAATTCTTCAGATAACGCACCAGCTCGAAAGAGAGGGGAATTGATTAGTGGATAGTAATCTAATTTGCCGGAGAATGTCTCGCCGCGACAGAGATTCCAGATGGCGTATTTTTAATAAATTTGCATGAAAACAACCAGGGAAATTGAAACGCTGCCGTTAATTCCTTCAATAATAACGGAAATGCATGACGTTTAATTGTTGATTAGTTGTGAAACAATTGAAAATGTGACTTGACGAAAACTTAGTCGTTCATTTTGTAATAAATATTAAAATGAAATTTTTATACGAAGGTAGATATAATAAAGAGCAAACGTAGATCGTTTTTGGTGAATCGAATAATATGACAATGTGTAATCAGAAAGAAAAATAAGTAGTATGAAGAGTACGCGGCGCGACTAGTAGTATAGGTCAACGCTTTGTCAGACGAAAGGACTGAAAATGTATTTAATCAAACAAGAACAATACTAACTTTCATATGATAATTCAGTAGACTTTTTAAGAAAGTAACGAAGAATATTTCTTTCCAAAAAAATATTTTCTGTATATTTACAGAAAAGAAATATTTTATTTAAATTTTTTATCAAAAATTTCAACTACTAAAGTTTAGCCTGCTTTATCCTTTTCATATTTGTACATTATCATTATTTCTGTGTTTTAATTTCTTTTTTAATATTTTACTAATATCATCCAATTCAAAAATCTCAAGAACAAAATGTCGAAGCATTTATATGTTATCGCGTTGTATCACAAATCTAGTGAAATTTCAATAGGTACGTGAAACCAGTTGCACTGGGCCTTCCTGTTTCGTGAAATCAACGAATCAGTCTCCGATCTACTTGAAGTCAGAGGCAAGTGCACTTTGCACACTTGATCTGCTTGTCAGGTGCGTTAGGTAGGTACGCGAATCAATCCAAGCAATAATTTCCCGGGATTAATTGGCGAATGATTGACACGGTGATTCGAGAGGACCTGTCGTGTTCCATGGCTGAGACTCAAAGCCCGAATGCAGAAAGATAATTGGTTTCGGCGCTCTTGCAGAAGTAGCTCGCCCCGAGTCGTTTACTTTGAATTTCCTGACACGAAAGGATTAAACGTTCGCGTATACATACTAGCAGTTTATTCGCTTTCATTCATTACAAAAGACAAAATGACACGAGCGAATACAATTTCCTTCCATCCTCACTGGTTACAAATTATTTCGTTCAATTGAAAAGTTTATTTCAAAAATAATAAATGTCCCCTTTCTCTGTATGCAGCTTTGAAATTGATGTACAAACTGTGTTTATTTATGATTTCAGTCACGGTATTGTATAGAGAAATGAGTTTTTAACATTTATATTCAAGGAAATATAAAAAGTCGGTTATAAAATACTGTGCAAACAGAAAAATAGAAGAGTCGATTGAATTATATCAACGCGTTTCCAATTTTTGCAAAATATTCTACTTAACTTTCACCGACTGGTATCACTTTAATTAAAAATACTCAAGATTTCAAGCGTAAACCGAAAAGCTTTGCTTTAACGCTTCAAATTGGATGGGATTGCTGGAAAGCCCTTTGAAGTGGTTTTGCCAGAACATTGCGCCGCTTGAACAAGTTTGAAACGATATTACATTAACCAACTTGTCGATTTCATTGAAAAATGTATCTTTATTTCCCTATCTGTGGATTCCATTTATTACAGTAAAGTCGATCGACGTTTGATGGAAATCAAAACCGTATCCCCGTTTGTTTCTCTTCAATTTCAAAATATTTCCAATAACAGCATCGAAGTATTCAAACAATCAAAGAATTTCATGAATAAGAAGCTGTTTTAATCTTTCAACGTCTGTCATTTTGAAAGTTTCAAAATATATGGAACTTCTATGTACATATTCATTTTTGTGAGATTTCTTTATTGAGAAAGAGATTTCATCGTCTTCAGTCAATAAAGATTTCTTCCGAAAATAAGCCGAGGAATGAGAAATGCGACGTGATTTATTATGATATCAATATTGAATGAAACGTCCTACTTTTATCGTGAAATACATAAGTACCTATTCAAATTTTGCTTAATGTTGAATGGCGGCACCAGCTAGTAACATCTTTTATAAGTTAAGACATATATATTTCTATAAAACCTTAAATAGTGTATTAAAATCAATTACAGTAGCTGTTCTAACAACTTTGAAAAAGCAGGTCAGCCTAATGTAAAATTTTAATCATGTTGCGCTTGCGCTGTCTCTTTTAAAAATAATTTAATGATATTTATTTTTACACAAATATAAGCCTACGTTTTTATGTGCATGCGCCAATTTTCAAATCATGTTAAAACTTACTTATAAATTAAATAAAATAAAATTATAAAAGAGCCGGCGAGTAGCCTAAATCGTACTGCGGCGTAGTTTCCCAATATTTTAGATATTTTTTTTAGGTTATAGTTATGTCAAAAAGAAAGTACGGACAGTGAAGTGCAAATAACATGAATAAGGCTATAATAAAACACACGTCTTCAACTAGTGCATCTGCAAATATTTCTGTATCGCTTAATGAAGAGGAGTGGTTCTGCAGTTTGCATGAAGAAGTTCAACTTGAAAATATAATACAATGTTTAAGGGTACATGAGGCCTGTGCTGGCGTGTCAAAAGCACAAAATGTTATTATTGTCCTCAATGTTAAATAAAATCAATTTATTATTTATAACTCAGAGATAGGATATTGGAAACCAACCAGTACGATTTAGGATACCGGTTGCCAAAATCGTACCTTTGTATCATTTTTTTACTAATGCATGTAAGACATAACAACTGCTTTCAAAATGCAGTTAACGTTGTCCACAGGTTATTTAAATGATATTTTATAAAATTACCAGAGCTTCATATTATGCATAATATCTTAAGTGGTACGATTTCGGCAACTTCCCCCTAATATGTCACTTGAGAGGAATGCGACGAATAGAACATCTTTCCAAGAGTTCTATTAAATTTTTTATTTCATCAAAATATTTATGGAATTCTTGGTCTCTTAACTTTTCATAATTAGCACTTTAATTATTGAATATTAATGTTTAGGAATTAATTACTAATTCCAAATGTTGTAAAATGAAAACTTTGATAATTTTATTTGAAAATTATCTACGTCAAGTTAACGAATATTGGATAATAAGAATAAAAAACGAATCTGAAACATTCTTTATATTTTCTCCAACTTTTACTTTCCTCTTTCACCGGATCTCCATCGAATAACGTGAAAGAAACATTCTTCGTATCCAAAGGCTATTTCATTCTTCTAATTTCATCGGGATGTATAACGAGCATCTAGAAACTGGCAATATATTCCTGGGAGTCTTTCAAAAAAGGCATCCACTCGAGATACAAGAGTCAGGGGGTAACAGTGCTTCCCCCTTTCGGAGGGATCTCATCGATCTTTCGCTTCCTTCAAGCCTGCCCGCTTGCTTTCCATTCATTTCCGTTTTTCGTAATTCCCTCGTTGCGGTTTCTGCCTTTAGACCGCGCGTTATTTATTCGAGCAGGAATACACCCGTTCTTGTAAGCACACTACGAGAGATCATTTGCACCAATTTAAAGGGGCGCAGTCGTGCGCATACTCTACAATTACAGTGGTTTTCGTTTCGAATTACATGTTACCGGCTTAAGGTAAACTTGCACGTATCCGTACAACCTGTTTCGATATACGTATAAACTAAAGTGATTCGTATATTTGTTCATGTTAAAGTAACATTTATTCGCGTGAAATAATTATACTTTATGAATTCAACGCGGTAATTGCCGTAATGGTCGTTAGTATACTATCGCAGAGAATTTAATATTACTGAACAATTAAAGAAAACAAATTTTGTTTATTCGAAGTAATAGAGAAGTGATTGCTCTATTATCTGAAAACATTTATAGTCTCTAAAAAAATCATTTATAGCATGATGATTTTAATTGTGATCAATGAAAATTTGTAAAAATTTGTAGAATTACACGCGGAACTTGAAATCTATGAACTTTGAAATAAAAATATCTCAAAATATCGAACTGGTGGTATTCTTTCCAAAACTTTTCCTTCTTTCGTATCTACCTTCCATTATAAAGTTATCTAATTAGAGTTTCTGAGCGAATGAAACTTGGTAAATTCTCATTCCCATCGATCAATCAATAATCACCAATTTTACCTAAATAGTCAATGTATTATCAGTAAAGCAAATTATAGAAATATTCAAAACCCTTGTTGTTTCGATCTTGACATGTATAGAAGCGGTAACAAAGTGACATGATAATAAAATTAAGATCAAACTGAACGAGACATTAATGTTCTTTCCTTGACAGATTCACAGTGTGCTTTTAGGAAAAGAATTTCGAATGGATGTTGAAAATTTCAAGTCGACCCAAAGTCGCTGAACCGTTGTCCATCAAAACTTGAAAAACGTCGACTAATTCCTGGCTGCAAACCGACTTCGGTTTGCTCGATGAGCATTTTTCTGCCCGGTTGTCCACGAACGGGGCTCCTTTCTCGTTTATCACGACCAGCTTTTATTTCGTTCCTGACAGGGCGCGAAGGAATTTTTCAATTAGTTTTGCAAACACCCTTGCGCGTCCTCTCTTTCTCTCTCTCTTTCAACGTGACCAGCCACGGGATCATGAAAAATGAGCTTCTTGGACCGCGTTATTGTACCGTTATTTCGAAGCGGAACACGGTGCTCGGATAATGTTTAGCGAAATGTAAACAACTCGGAGATAATTGAACCAGTTGAAACCAAGTTCTCAGCGGGTGAATCTTCACCGCGACGCGGAAGTGAACTTGTTAAACGCTCCGTTGGATTTAAACAACGATAAAGCATTCCGCTTTACCTGCACTGAAATCATTCCCTCGAATTTCTTAACACATTATTCGCTATTCGCAAATGAAACGAAGCAGTACCATTTCATAAATTAATAATAATGATGAAAAATAAATTTTTAAACGACGGAGTCCTGATTTTCTTGATCTACCAGCTGTGATTATATTTTAGATATCGTTTACTCAAGCTCATGAAAATTTGCAATTTTAATTTTCATGGATGCGTTTAAAAATGATTAAGACACCGAGGATGCCTGTGCCGACAGGTAGTTTGCATTCGCGGAGTCGACGAGTATAAAGATTCAACGAGCCAGTAATAGACTCCGTAAGCAAGTCTCGCTGGGTACTTGAAAGTTTTTCCTTCTGCTCTCAAAGGTAGAAGTGAAAGTTCCTCAAATCCGGAGGATCCTCCAGTCTCAGGAACGCCAGCGTAATATGCTGTAGACATGGCTACCAAAAAGACGAGGAAATGGAGAACGTTCTATCCCCTCGACGCGACATCGTGGAATCTTGTACAAGTACGGGACAATCGTGTACTTCAGAATCATGTATACATATGAGTGCTGGGGGAAGTTATTTCAATAATCAAACTACCAACGAGAGTAGCAGATGTACGGGTGTACTATTTTAACATTAAAACTCTCGACGTTTGATGCAATCTTATTTTTAAGTCGAAAATAATGTAGAAAATTAAATAGATAAAGGATTAAAAATAATTTAGTATATATGTTACAAAATGTTATAAAAAGCAGACATTGTATAGAATGTCTAGGCAATATCGATCTAATATAAACAAATTAATTTCCTTTAAATTAAAATTTTAAATTAAAAACCTTTTAGGATTATTTCTTATTTTATTAATTTTTAGAATAATTATTTTACAAAATCCTTACAATACCTAGGAAAAATTTATATAATACTAAAATAATTCGAATATTTCATACTTTGCCCAAAAACACCAGGCATTCTATACAATGCCTGCTTTTCATACATTGCCGGTAACATATACATTTATTTTTTATCCCGACAATTATGCCAACATACATTTCAACAAAAGTACCTCCATAAAATTTACGAATTAAAATAAGAAATTCGAAACCACTCATTTTAATTGGTTTGAATAGTTCTAGCGTTAATCTATTCAAGCATATATCCACTGAAATATTCCAATAATTTTTTTTTTTAAACGTAGCAACATTTTAAAATTTCAATTTTTCCAGTTGAACCTTTACTCACATCAAATATTATTCCTCATAACATCTTTTATTTTTCGTTTACAGGATGAGTATATGGGTCAGGTATTGTTGATGTCTGAACAGTGAGCGTGTGAAGCATTTCGAAGATTGCACGCGAAATAGAGGCGAACAGACGCGGGTGTTTGTGCTAGTTCACCGACTCCGTGCTTCGAAGCACCGAAGTGTTCTCAGTCTCTCTTTCTCTCTCATCCGTCATTTATATCAAAGCGGGTTAAAGCCCAGCCGTAGCGGCACACCTCAGCGATCCACGTGCAACGCGCCACCCACTTCACCGATGAAATAATATTCCATGTAATCTCCAACGCTCAAACGAAACTTGAGTGGATGCAAAATGTGCGTAAATGAGGTGCCCGCGGCGTTGACGTCCTCTCACCGTTTACACGGCACGCAGATAGGCTCTCACCGTGACTCGGTTTGTCGCACCTTCCACGCGCTTTTTCGGTGAAATAATTTCGTTTCTCGTTCCTTCTATTACCCGCCTCTTTTATTCTTTCCCTTTTTAATGAAACGTACTTCACTCGAGAGCGTGGCTGTTTAAAGGCACAAACGAATGTCGCTTCGCGGGACCGTCAAAATAGATACAACAAGGGGTGGTGATGCTTCATTTTAAAATTCTTGAAATTAAAATGGAACTTTCGTTTTTGATTAAAAGGTGTAATTTCAAGAGTTTGGTCGTGACAAAAAAATTGAACCAGAACTTGACTGTAGTTTGTTGAAAATTTGGAAAGTCGTATGGATACTATTTCGATAACACCAAGTTTAAGAGCAATAGAATTCTTTTTCTGTTTTATCAGCTGAGAAAGTTTGCATTCATCTGCTGTTTCACGTAAAACGTAAATTTCACTGGAGCTAACTTAAGCATGTTAATTAAGGATCCAGGAGAGAAGCAGTTGCACACTGTCCCGAATAAAGATAGCCCGGGTTTCGCCACGGGACAAGTAACTTACGATGGCCGTTGTAAAATTTCACTTTTTTTTCTAGTTCTATAACGTAAACTATGCCAAATTAACTTGGACGCAGTATCCTTTGCGGCCGTGCCACAAGAGTACTGTTCCACTTCGGGACAGAAATAAAACTTTTGCGATCTTTCCTTCGACCGCTTTCTTCCCCTTCCTCCTCTTTTTTATTTCTTGCAACGTGGAAAAATAAAAAAAAAGAGCAACCGGTAAATTCATTTAGAACTCTGACGAATAAAGTTGCAATTTCTGTCCGTCCTTCGGGTTAACTTTCTTCCAGAGAAATTCTCTGATCGTAAAATGTGCTTGATTAAATTTCATGAATATTTTATTTATTGATCATTAAAGTGTAACTCGATTACGGTGAAGAAACTTTTTCGATACCCCCTAATGAAAATTCGAAAAATGTGAAACATGGCGCCGATGAAAAATGCACGCTTCCGCTATTCTATTTATCTCTTTTTTTGTCATCGATTATCGTTTATTTGCCACATCAATTATCGTTTGCTTCAACCTGGATAAAATGTAGCTCCCAGTAAAAAATTCCAACGTTTTCGAACAGCTGAGCGTTGGATGATTCGTTTTTCACATATATATCAGGAAGAGGAGCATCTGTGATTTTAATTCGATTGAAAATAATTTTCAACGATGAAATTTACAATTTTCATAAAAATTGTTCTTTGCGATTAAATGTGCACTTTGGTCATCCAATCTGTATCATCTATTTATAATATTTATAAATAAAATACTGTCTTTAGGAATTCAGAAGATATTTCTCAGAATATAATAATTGATCCCATTATATCTTAAAATTGTTCCCAAGGAATGTTTCGAAGATTGAAAGGCAAACGATAAAATAGAACGGAACAAAAAAAGAAAAGAAATACCTTTTATGAAGTTTCTTTAGCTCTGTCCTTCTAGAAATTCGTTTTATTTGTAAGCAGAAAAACACAATTCGATTCCAAGTATTCGTTCAAGATAGCTCGTTAACGACTGAACTGGTTCTAAGGATAAGAGTAAACTCTTCTTTGTAGTTGTTTATCCCATTTGTAGAAAGGAATGGATAAAGCAAGTATGTAACCAACCTTCGAAGAATACATACAATTGGAAGAACCTACCCCAAGATGGGAATTGATTTCCTACATTATTTTCTTGTTTCAGGTCGGAAACTACTATGCTCAAAGATCAATGCAACCCGATTGTTTTCCTGCACTGAAATTTCCTACTGCAAAGCCTGTAATAAATCTGCAAACTGGCAGACCCGATTGGAAAATTTAGCCCATAGAAATAAATGTCGCAATGATGAAGAAGAAGAAGAAGAAGAAATTGCTGTAAAAATGTTTATGGAGAGTAAGCTATAAAGACGGAGGGTAAGAATCTAAGGTAGGACTGGTTTATGAGAGGGTTTAGTTGTCCATCAAAACCTATCGACTTTACACCCCAATTTGGGTCTTATTTAACCCTTGAGATTCTTTTTTTCATTCATAGTATGTGCACGTTATCGAAGTCTACATTTAAAAAAATTTGAATTTCGATTCATATAGAATAGCAGATTAATTTTTATCGTGCATGCAACAACTCAGACAAATACCTGCAGAAGTAAGGGATGGTGACCTCCGGCGGAAGTGGTGTCGAAGGGTGAGGGGGCAGTTTACGTGGCCGCGATTACGGTTAATTATCGTCGGGTTAATAAGCCGCGACGATTGCACGTGACTGGTGTGTAGTGGTGCTCGTCGCGGCGAGCCGAGGGGGGTGAATTTTCTGCAAGCCTGCGCGAGAAGCGGTTGCAACCGGCGGTACACAATCGTCTGCTTGCTAGAAACAGCCAGTTACACGATTCTAACTGGAACGGGTCAGAAGTTGAAGCAATTAGCCCAGTTTGTCGGTCGCACGGAAAACAATGCCAGAAAGTTGTTAATGATGTCGTACCGACCGCTGCCATTCTACGGTTTAAACGTTGTCCCCAGCCAAATCCAGTTCCCTCGTCCGATGGCTCCTTTTGTCCTCGAGCGGCGTCAGTCGAGCGCTAATTATAAACAAATAACGATACGCCGTGGAGTCGTGATATAATTTTGAGCGAACGAAGCGGTTGCTCGAGGGTCGAACCAGCCTCGAGGAAGCCTGGCAAGATAAGAGCGGAATTCCTCTTGCCGGTTTAATCGCCTTGCAAAACGTTACATGCGCTTAATTAGCTCCGCCGTCGTGTCAGTTAAGAGGCTTCCTTCTTTGTTCGTTCAACAAGGAGGTGAACGGTGTGCAACGTTCTTACGCGTACCCCTTAATCACTGGAACAGCTCGGAGAAATTGGTTTTACGAAATTTGTTGCTTTTACTGCCGCGAGATTGCCGTGCATTGGATAATCGAGTATTTAATATTTCTCGGTGTTATATCTCAAATGATTTCTATTGCAATTCACCGTTTCAGAGATTGGACTTCTATATTAGGACCTTTGTATCCAGGGCACAATGCCGCGACATCTCTTTTAACCCTCGGGTTGGTAATATTCAGTATATTCGAGTACCAACAGAATTTCAATTTTAATTTTAATTTGTAATTAAAGGAATCAGAACGAACCACAAATTTATCGACGCTCCTTGAAGATAATCGCCTGCGAGCGGGGATGAGGACTCCTCGAAGAAGTATAATGACTTCGGAGAGCACATGCAGAGCATCTGGGTTCCCAGTTCTAAATCTGCTCGCGACAGCGTGGTGTATTAACATTTTTTGCAAGAGTCTCGCCTCGAGTAGAAAAAGTCCAAGCATTATGCTAATCGGCAAGGACACGTGTTTGTAATGGCTTATTTTTACGCAGCCGAAACAATGTTACGTTCCTTCGGCAACCGTTCGAGCCCTCAAGGGAACCTGGCCAGGATTACATCCAACGGTTTCGAAGGACGTTCGATTAGGCAATATTCAAACCGAGCCCCGTAACATTTTAATATTCGATCGTGTAATTGATTCGAAGCCAGGCGTTCGGTGTCGTTTTGTGTCTCTCCTTATTGCACATTTCGTCAGTCGTAAAGGGATCTCGTTTTCTTTCTCTCATAAATATCCTCCCTCTGTGTTTCGATATCGCGAGGAAAAGGAAAAAAATATTAGGCATTACTTTCTTTTTTCTTTCTTTCTTTCTTTCTTTGGAAGAATATCAGCTGGAACTTTTCAGATTTTCTTCCCACGAAGACGAAACGAGGTATCCAAAGTTCTTCCCAAGGGCGGTAATCTTTGGATAAAATAAATCAGACGGCCGGGAACAGATTTCACCGGGACACCTAGAGGGATATTACACGCGTGCACGCGGCAGGATGCGACGATTCCTCGCGAACGATAGCGTTAATTACGCTGGCAACTTCTTTCCCGACGAGGCCGGGCAATTACGCGAAAAGTCGTATAAATATCAGACGAGATCCCGAGCTGGTTTAAACGGAGAGAGAGAGAGAGTTAAGTTCTCAACGATCCCCGGGGTCGGGACGGCAGCATCAGATATCACGAAAACGCACGAGGGAAGCTTATTTCCTCTTACATATTACTTTCTGGCCTTCTGCTTCCTCGCTATTACACCCAGCTGCTTTTCGCCAGCCTTCCAGTTTAAAGACCTCTCGATGTAGAGGAGGAACGTTTGCTAGAGTCCCAAACCTTTAATAAATCGAACGAACGCGGTTATTTACGGGGATTGATAATTAAAATTAATATCCGCCCTTTTATTCGCACTTCTACCCGATTGTGAAACGTAAATTAAGAGAGTCGCTCGTTCTCGTGAATACTAAACGAACCAAATCGTAAATTCGATTTATTTTCCTTGGTGAACAAGTGCTCGAACGTGTAAAATCGATTTCCTCTCCGACTTTACATAAGTTCAATATTTTCTTTTCCAAGGGTGTTGAAAGGCAAAGGGTTTGAAATGGTATTCGCCAAGAATTCCATACGTTAACGTTAACTGATTATTCTTCCACTAGCACATGTAATAATAATAATAATAATAATAAACTCGAGGAGAGAGGAATCGAAGCGCGATGCGGTTAGGTAACAAAAATTTGCCCAGTGTACCGTGAGAAGAGTTACCGAACTTGGTCCTCTTCCTTCCTCGCGAAACTTCAGGAACTTCAGAACGGTCGTTTAGCGTTCGCGGTGACGAGGTGAATCTAAAACTTTCCCACCGAACGTTCGTAAACCGTCCGTGGAACGACGGCGGACCCTTACCCTCTCGAAATTTTACTACCAACAGGGTTACGCTCGCCGAAGTGCTATCCTCCTCCCCATAGTTTTCTTACCCCCGCTAAGACGATGGATACCGGATCCGCATCTTACCTGACGAACTGTTACTTAGAGGGGCATCAAGCATGCAGCCGTCGCGTAGACAAGCAACCGAAGGATCCTTCTTATCCTGGCGATTCATGCATAAGCTTCCATCTCCATAAAGCAGGTAACGGTGACATCCCAGTGGGTACTCGTGTTTCATGAGGCTTACCAGAGCCACTAAGCCGATGCCGACCCACATTCTATGCGAGCCAGAACAACGCCTCGTCTAAACAACACCCACATCGAAGCAACCCTTCTTCCGCTTTCCATCCTCTTCTACTTATAGACACCAGCCTTCTGCTTCTTCTTGGCGTTGGTCCTTAACCCTTTTGCTCCTATAACAATTCGAAATATGGGTATTTATTAAATTACATTCTTCGATGGCGTTTTATTAATTTATCATTAAGGGTTTGGTTCCATCGAATGTTGAACAAACGGAACACCAAGCAGCAGAGTAGAAAACAAATTTCGCTATCACGTTGCTTTTCTTCAGCTATATCAGAGCCAAGTCTGGTCTCGAGAGTAATCAGATCGTTTCTTGTCGCGTTCCGCGCTGTTCCTCGTGGTCGATGCTTTTTGCATGCCGCGTGTTTTTGGCTTGCCACCACCGAAGCACCAGAGAATGCCGTTTGAAACGGGCTCGTTGTCGACGAGAAAGAAACAGAGAGCAGAGCCGGCGAAAAGTACAACGTTTGCGGTGTATTTTGGAAAATGACTATTTAAAGTATGGAATATAGAACGAAAGAGCGTGGAGCGTAGAATACGAAGGTTGGAATATGGAACGAAACGTTTTAAACGTTCTATTGCTGGAAAATAGAAATTCCAAAAATTCTCAAAAGTTTGCACTGATATTTTCTGATAGTCTTAAACTTTCGCAGTTGCATTTCTTAGTTCTATCCTGTGTAGGGTAACGTATGCAATTGTTAACCCCTATGCAATGATTGACCCTTTTCCTAAAAGAGTGAAAAATATAATATAATAATATGTTTTTTAACCCTCAGAATGGTGAATCATGGAGAAGGCCCCAAAACGACGGATCATAGAGAGAGCACCAAAACGATGGACCATAGGGAGAATCCCAAGGCGGCGAAGCATCAAGAGAGTCCCGAGATGACCCTGGAAAAAAACCATACTTTTAATTTAATTCTACATTTTATATTATTTACATTTTCTAAATTCCACACTGTTCAAGGGTTAAATCAATGATTCTCAAACTTTATTGTCTGGCGGCACATTGAAATCATTAAACAAAATTTACGATACCTCTATTATTATTATTTTTTGCTTTTATTAATATTTGATCTTTTACATATAAACAAGTAAAAATTTCGCGATACCCAGTTTTAGAACCAGTTGGTTAAATAATAAAATAAAATTATTTTTCTAAGCCTGACTGAGTACCTTTTATTTCAAATAGAATTATAGTTTATTATGTAAGAGATTATATTGTACTTTCTATTTTTTTTAGGAAAAGAACCAATAAACTTTATACATTATCCTCTGTATCCAAAAGCGATCATTGAACTGACATCAAGTTACAACAGCTAATCGATCTTTGTAAAAGAATCGAAGTTTTCCAGCGGAAATTTCCAGTCAAGCGCAAGCTCGTCGAGCTTACAGTGAAATCTCCGGTTTCCATCGGAGTCGGTGTTCGTATCATGTAGGACACTTGGCTCGAACACGAAATATTTAGGCAGATTCTCGACTAGAGCTCCCGTTTCGAAAGCTGCAAGGCATCCTGCAAGCTGAGCAAGAAGTGAGCGTCTATAGTGCTCGCACGGTATGCGAGTAACGCGCTCCTTGCGAATTCTTTTACAAATCTCTATTCCTTTCGCGCCTCCTCGCCGTTTCCTGTTTGCTTTCGCGACGAAGACGAGAGGCAGTCACTTGCAATTCGACGCTGCCGAACGCTCCGCTCCGCTTCTCTTTTGGCGCGGAGTCAGCGCGACGCTGCTTCCGAGACGGTGCTGCTGAAATACCACTCTTTCGCTCATACTTGCCGCGAACGCGACGCCGCACCGCGACGCTTTTTCCTACCGTCACATCGGTGCGAAGCTTTTTTCCCCATCATCGACGAATTTGGTTTTCTTCTTCGCGTCACATACATTTTAAATATTCAAACTATTTTGTACTTTGATTTTGAAAATAAAAGTATTTTATTAAAAACTTTGTATTTCAAATTTTTTTCCTTCGTTTTCTTTGTCTAAGGTTTCCAAACTTCAACGACCAAATAGTAGTTAATTACCATTCGTAAATTCCATTAGGTTGTTGCAGTTGCAGCGAAGGAAAATTTAAACAAAACTTGGCGCGACAACGGAAAGTGTAACTTCGTCGAAGTTTCCGAAAGTTTCCTTCTCTTGAACGACTAGTTTCGCTCGTAAAATATTCGCAAACAATTGTCCATTTCAACCAGGACAACAATAATCGAGTTCTGAATTGGCCCGTGGGTTTCAATTGAAATGAAACGTCTCGCTTTTGAGTTGAAATAAAATCAAGATTACCTTTAAACAAAGTTACGTGTTTGAGTGTATATTTCGTATTACGACGATTAAACGATAGACTCGATGAACTTTCGAAATGGCAACGCGAAAGACTCCGTTTATACTTCCCGGTCGTTGCGACCGCGGTAATTTCCATTCTTGAAGTCGGAGGGGAACTCTTTAACGTTCTTAATATTAACGACGGTACGGCGCGAAATACAGCTTAATGCCGGCATCGATCATAAGTCTGCTGATGTTAACGAAAAGTTTCCTTAAGCACGTCGTAAAACGCTTGATTAAACAGCCAACTGCCGGCCAGACTATTAGCTCCGTTGTTTTTCCTAACCGGGACTAATTATCAACTGTAAACAGTTTTAATTTCCTACGGGTGATCTTAAGGGTTGATTATGAAAAAAAAAAATAAGCGGGGAAAGGTGTAGGGGACTCGAGTTGTATTAAGTTTTATTTTTACGGGCACGGGTAAAAACATGTTACATGGCCGGAAAGTTTGTTTATTAATATGAATTGTTGTCGGTGAAGTGGTGGCTTGGCGGCGGGCCATTCTTTTCCTCTCGCGGACGTCGGGAACTTCTGCAATTAAACGAGTGCCTTTACCGTAATGAAACGCTCGCGCTCTCGTGCTCCTGTCAAGATTTCACAAGTAAATCTCTTCATAATTAATGAATAATTCAGTAGTCACCCGCAATTTCCTATTTTTCTACAGTTATTTCTTTCATGCACTATTCTTAACCAGTTAACGTATTATGAAGCTTGTTTTCATAATACAGTAATTTCTTATTAATTAACATTAGATAAAATTGAATTTATTAATTGGAAGGTTTTCATTTCCATGCTGTTAATAAGTCTTTCAATTGAATCTCGATGTGAAACTTTGAAACAGGAAATATGTTTCGTTCAAGAAATCGCAAGATACCTGTGCTTGAAGTTGGCCTGGAAAACTGAAAGTCAATTTTCAAACTCGAATATTCATCTTCTCTTTTCTTCTTTCTCTCTCTCTCTTGACAGCCACTTTCTGCTTTTCACTTTCCTTGTCGTTCTCAGCAGGAATCGGAATCTTTTCAAACAAGCAGTCAGGCTTATGCCGTCGCTTGGAAGCAGCAGTTTCCGGCCTGGAATTTACCGGAAATAATATCGTATCAAAACGCTGGTCGAAGAGCGAGTGTACGTGCCACGATAAGGCTTCCTGCCGTTGCGACGCTTCCGTGCAACTTTTAAACTGCCAAAGTCAGTTCGAAGTTCGCAGGATTCGTTGTGACTTCTCTGCTTCTGATTTTCTCTTCCCTTCTTAACATTTTCTCTCTGCGAATCAGTCTCACTCTCGCTATCAAGATTGCTTTCTTTTTCCTTTTCGAAGAACAGCAGTCTGCTTTTCATTCTCTTCTTATCAAACTTATTAAATATTCCTTTGTACATTATTATTGGTATACAGAAATTATTACAACACGTAATAATTGATCAACTTACAATTTAACACGAGTAATTATAATTAATCAATAATTGTCATCGTTAACAGAGAGAACCTATTAATCGAATTCGAGGCATTGGCGCAATCTCACGATACAAACTCCCATATACAGTTCAGAATCATTAATTGTTAAATCTGCTCCATGGTTGTTTAGAAGCAATCGATCGGATCGTGTTCTCGATTGTTTGGCACGTATTGTTCGGTAATCGGCGACTCGAAAATTTGCGCATCTCGATCAAAAGCCACTTATCGACGATAAACGTAGCGCATAACGCGGATAAATTCACCGACACGCTCGAAATGTAACGTGAACCGACCAATTAGTACGTATAATTTGGACTTACTTTTAGCTAGACCGTAACCAATACCACAAATTCGAGCCGCATGCAAATGCACCAATTCCGGATGGTTAAGCCAGATATCGACGTAGGTTTAACCTAGTGATCTGACCCGTATCTAATTTACAGGTATGTAAGTCAGGTGTTGCCTACCAAACCACCTATCGTGGATATTTATGTAGATATTCTAACGTCTATCCTCATCGGATTTGTCACGCCTAATCTGAGACGTTTCTCATTGAGAACTACTGGATCGTTCAAAACATTTTTTGAAAATTCTCTATTATGTTTCACCAATCCGACCCTTTTGAAACTTCTACAGGTAATAATTAAATAATAAAACGTTATTCTTAATTCTTTGGTAGTTGTCCCTCAAGGGATTGTTTACAAAAATCATTCCCAAAGTTAAAATATTTTTTTCCCCTTAATCATCGGTTAAAAATTTTGAAAAAAATATATGATGAGAAGCTAATTAGTATCTACTATTTGCATTTGGATTTGTCCAAATATCTTAAATAGTTTTCGAGAAAAAAAATAGTAAAATTAAGGGTTGTTCCCTTATATCTTCCTTACCAGAGAAGGTAGGCGGCTTAAATTACTCACAGCTGTTCTTTAGGCAGAAAATCATTATGTGATATAAATATAAGCCAAAATTGTTGCTGGGATTAATTATCCGCCTAAACCAATTAAGAAATTAAATTTCGTACTCGTAGTTCTTGATCGCTGTTTCGCTCCAACGATATTACCTACATCTGTATAGAAAAGGAAACGTCGAATTCGAATAAAACATTCGGATGGGTAAATAAATGCGGCGTAAGAGCACTCGTAAATGTAGACAGAAGCAGGACGGCTCCGTCGTTAATGGGCGGAATTTCGAAAAGCTCGTACTTAACTTGAGTCTGCGAGGTGACGCTCGGAATACAAAATTGATCTTAGCATGACATTATCACGTTGCTAGTGCCGTCGGTATCCATCGTGTTTAACAGTCTCCCGATTCCGCTTCTGACGTTCCTACATCCCCGTTGAATCCA